AAATTTTTCCTCATTAATTTGAGGAAGTGTGTAGTGGGCAAAAAAAAAAGAATTCAAGAAATGAATTTTCAGAATAATATTTCATATTAAACTAACTCACTTCTAAAAGATGTCTAAAAAAATTGTATGTATGTTTAATCATAGTATATATTAGTTCGACGGATTTGTGACCTAATAAGTACGGTTTGTCGTTGTTGCTGTTGTCATCTCTCGTAGCTTAGTGGTCAAAGCATTGGCGCGTAAAGCCAAAGAGCCCGGGTTCGATTCCCGGCGGGGGTGTGACAACAGCAACAAATTTTTCCTCATTAATTTGAGGAAATGTGTAGTGGGCAAAAAAGAATTCAAGAAATTCATTTTCGGAATAATATTTCATATTAAACTAACTCACTTCTAAAAGATGTCTAGAAAATTGTATGGATGTTTAATCATAGTATATATTAGTTCGACGGATTTGTGACCTAATAAGTACGGTTTGTCGTTGTTGCTGTTGTCATCTCTCGTAGCTTAGTGGTCAAAGCATTGGCGCGTAAAGCCAAAGAGCCCGGGTTCGATTCCCGGCGGGGGTGTGACAACAGCAACAAATTTTTCCTCATTAATTTGAGGAAGTGTGTAGTGGGCAAAAAAGAATTCAAGAAATTCATTTTCAGAATAATATTTCATAAAAAACAAATTGATTTACCCCAACATAAATAACAAAAGCACACAAAAGAAACAAAATATATACAAATAAGTAACATACTTAACCCAATTCTAACATAAGGTAATCTAAAAAACATAGGTATCCTAACTAATATTATGAATGCGAATGTGAGTTTGTTTGTTTGTCGGTCGGCTTTTCACGTCTTAACTACTCAACCGATCATAATGAAATTTTGTAGACACATCGTTATGGGTACAGAAAACAACATAAGGTACCTTTTATCCGGAAAAAAATACTGTTCCAGAAGGATAGAAATAGTAGTTTTATGTAGACAATCAANAGAAGGTGTCCTACCAACCTATCTCGCCTATTTTTTATTGACTTCCATAGAGTCCTCTGTTCTCCTATTCTTTCCAATACCTCTTCATTTTTAACCTTTTCTATCCACGTTATCCTCATCATCCGCCTATAACACCACATTTCGAACGTTTCTAACCTTTTTCCGCCGCGCCCACTGTCCATGTTTCGCACCCGTACAACGCCGTGCTACAAACATACACCTTTAACAACCTTTTTCGAATTTCTGAATTAACCGTTCGCGAACGTAGAAGTGACATCTTTTTATTAAAAGCGACACGACCACAATTAAAATATTGCATGCTATTTGGGCTCACCTGAGTACTACGGGCTAAAATAAAACCATGATTTTTGCTCACAAAACTCTCTATATACGTATTAGTGAGATGTCCAACACTAAAAACTAATTAATTTTTGTGACAATTTTAGACTTTGTTGAAATTGCATATCAAAATTTTCTCAGGAATACCGCAAAAATAATCGTGCCGCGCTATATGCGTTAGCTGCATAGTTTTTTACTTGTATCTCTGTTTGTTACTTGGTAATCCCCCTGTTACCTTATCTGCAACTTCCAAAAAAAAGTTGTAAGAAAAAAAATTGTTCGTCACGAGATGTTGTATAATTTTTATGTTTAAACAGCAAAAAACCGCAAAATGTGTAATTTAAAACTTCATATCCAAAATTTACCGTAACAAAATAGTAGATGTACATTTTAAACAAAAGAATTAGTTGTTTTTATATTAATTTTTAAAGCTAAAAAGCTGTATGAATTAATGTTTTCTGCGACCAACGTATGTATACATTTATTCTTGTTCAGCATGACTACAAAGTAGGTATTTAATTTTTCAAAAAAAATCGAAGGTATTCCGCGAGATAATTACTGTTTTTTCTTTCTAATATCATCCTGTAAGGCGTAATATCGCACTAATTGAACACCCTGCATAATAAGGGGTTATCCCTGGAGAAATGAAATACATATAAGCATGTAAGTATATAGTCAAACATTGCTTATATAGTGATTTGAACAAACGAAATTAATAGAAATTCCTATACCGGTTTACATATCGAAACGTATAGAAAGATAAGAACAAAGAAAATACAAAAATGTACACAAGCTCTGTCGATAAGGAGATACAACTAATTAGTCAAGTACACATCAAAAATCTTGAATGTTACAAGAAATGAAGTTATTTTAGAATTTTGAAAAAAAACTAACATTGATGGACTAAATGCACAATAGTTATAAACTAACAAACGATCCAAGTCATGAATAAATGTTAATTTAGTTTAAACACAAATTAAAATATAATAAACAGATTAAGATTAATATCAACAGGTTTTATTTTACCTTTTATTTATAGTACGACGCACGACCAAGTGTACGAGCTCTGCTAAACTGTCATTTTTTTCTGGGACTGGGAGTCCCGCGCTTCTGTGTCACTACCTATTCCAACCTCGTTTTGTGGAAAATCAGAGCCGGCGCGTTAAAATTTTAGACAAGCAACTGAAATCGTTTAGAAAATGACTACAAAATTCTTAGCTAATTCTAATTACCAAGCTGACAGTATGGGTGTGTGAGTGACAACATTTAACTTACAGTATTTGTTTTCAAGTTCTGCTAAGAATTTCACAGCAATTTTCGTAAAAAAATAAACGATTTTAGTTGCTTTCACAAAGAACAATAACTAATTTGAAAACTATAAAAGATGGGTATAGAGAACAATTGTACCATTCGACAGAAAATAATTGTGCATAAGGCTGCGAAAAAACATATACATAGTTTCAATTTAAGAATGAACTTGCGATTGTTTGAAAATAGCCAAATCCATCATTAAATATCTAACACCCTGTATGTAAGTAACCCACTTTGAAATTATGGACGGGAGACTGGGGGGTATAGGTATCTCTCCTGAGAGAATATTGTTGCTCCAGATTTCCTACTGTAAAATAGGCATGATTCTTCGCTACCTACAGCTGTGTTACCTTTTTTTAAAGAAGTAAATATCTCAAAAACGGTAAATCTTAGAATTGGGAAAGTCCTATGAAAATCTACGTAAAATCAAATGTAAATTCAAAACCGTAGTAATATACAGGGTGTTCCACTAAAAATAATGAAATTGATGTCAACTGGAAGTGCTACATAAATACAATTATTTTAATTGAGGAGGGCACACCCAATAACGCTATTATCTACATTTTTAAAATTTAAATTGAAGTAGTTTCCAAAATATTCTAATTGGTGGTCACCGTGAGATACCTTGTATACACTCAATTGTATTCATATTTTATTTATTTCTGTTTTGTTTTTTCTTGAACTTTAAGATTGGTAATTACTGTTTTGCTTTGTGTAAAATTCAATAATTATCTACATGGATTTTGTTTTTAATAAATTTTAGTCAAAGTCTACTACTTACAACTGGACACAAAAGAAAATTTTAGAAATTTTTAAATTTTGAGCTTGCTTCTGAAAATCATTCTATGTAATTATATATTATACGAATGGACACATAAAAATATACAGGATGTTCTATTTAAAAAAACGTACGTTTACGTCACAACTAAAAAAGCTGACTACGCCACTGAATTCCGCAGAAAAAGTGCTACGTTATAACTTCTTCGATAAGTTTAAAGATAACTCAGGTAGGAAGGAGGGGTGCCTAAGATGATACTTTTAAATTTCACCCCGTATCTCAAAAATTAAAAGGGATATGAAAATTATGCTAGCGCCATCTTTAATTTCACAAAAAAGTAGCAAACTGTTGCGAAAACCGCAGTCTTCATGTTTAAAAATAAGAGATATACAGTATGTATAGACGTCTTAAGAACTGCACGTTTTACTTTCTAGAGTATTTATTTCAATTAAAGTGAAGTTTTCTAGACTGAACTCAAGTGTTAGCAGATAAAACAGACCTGACAACAGCAAGGCTACTGGAGGAGGGGTAGAAACTGGCAAAACGTCTCAGCTGTCAAATAAGAAGACACCACGATAGTTCAGCCTGGAAAGCTTCACATCAATCAACCACAATCGGCTGTGAAAGTCTAAGATCAGTATAATACTAAGATAATATTAAGAATAATTTTTTTGGGATATAGAAATTTAACAACTACTCCACATTTTCAACCATTTATTTACGAACAAGCAAATAAATATAAAAAGAATAATGTAAAAATCTTACCTTTAGTATTTCTCGACGGTTTATTAAATGTTGTATGTACTGTATTTAAATTATCTTCGATTTTTGGAAAACCATTAATTTCGGATAACCATTCCATATTTATTGGCGTTTTACTAATTGGGAAATTATCAAAACTCTTGTTTGTAATATTATCTAGTAAATCATGTGAATTAGAAGGAATGGGTATTGAATTGTTCATGTTTTTATCAGGCATTCCGCTGAAACTGGGCACAAAATTTTCTTTTGACGTACTGGGGACAATAATTAACGGTACATTCTTGTTTTCAGATTCTGTATTTAAATTATCCTCAATTTTTGGAGCACAATCATTCATTTCGGCCAACCATTCCATATTTATTGATGTTTTACTAGTTGGGAAAGTATCATAACAATGGCTTGTAATATTATTTAGTAAATCTGGTGAATTTGAATTAATGGATATGGAGTTATCTACATATTTATCAGGCATTCTGCTGAAACTGGGCACAAAATTTTCTTTAGACGTACTGGGAACAATAATAAATGGCGCATTCCTGTTGTTTAATGCACCTGTTTGTATTGGGGGTATGTCAAAGTCTTCTTTACCATCAGATGAAATTATATGTTGCGTAAATTTGTCCATAATTAAAGAACAATTTTGATTCTGAAGTTCCTCACTAAATATATCGAATGGAGATTGATATGTTTCAGACAGTAATGCAGATATGGACAGTCTTTCCGATGAATTTACTTCTACATTTGTATTTTGAACTTCTTGTTTATTGAACATTGTAGTGCTGGTGACAGTCTCAATTTGTTCTGAGTACGCATGTTGAGGATAGTGTACACTTTGATTTAAATTAGAATTATTGCTTTTCGAAGATAGACTATTTAAAGAATCTTTTTCTTCGGTTTTATTTTCAGTTGAAATTAAACTATGATTTTGTTGGGGCGGAGAATCTTTCCTTTTAGGTAGTTGAATTTCTGAAATACTTTTCACTATTTCAGGAAAATAAACTTCACTTTTCTGATCTATTTTTGAGACTGCATCTTCAATTGCCTTTTTAAGTTCAAAATTATTCACAGTTAAATTATTTTTTTTAATATTCTCATTGCAATCAGACTTGGATTTTTTAACAAATAAATCACTTTCTGAGCATTCGTTTTGTTCAAAAATACGCTTTTGCGTTAATGGAAGTTCTGGGTTATCTGGCAATAAATGTCTGTTATTATTTAATGTATTCTTATTAACGGGTCTGGATCTGCCAGAACCACCAATGGATTTCTTTTGAACTTTCAAGCACAATTTTCTTGCCACCACTCTTATTCTGTTGGGTTCATTTCCTATTTCGCCAAGAAGCTTAATTATGTAACTTGCTTGATAGTATGGGAAAATACGGCACAAAAATTTTGCTTCAGCATTTAAAACATTATAAGAAATAGACAAGTCTTTGTAAATAAAATACTCAATCAGAGCTTGTAAGTGATTGAATTGAGTTCCTGGTTTACTCCAATCATGTTTGTAGTGCATATAAAGTGTTGGAATGTCAAGCCATTTGCTTATTTCTTCAGGTTTAAGAAGTGGTGATACCTAAAAGAAAGTATGTGAATCCATTACATTTTTATATTTACAATTGTCATTATCTACTTTTACTTATTGATGAAATTACACACTTGTTAAATGAGACGTTTAAGCACCATAAAAATTCACGATTTCTTTTAAAGAAAAAACAACATAGGTAGGTACTATGTTTTCAATAGCCATTCATGTACGAAACAGTGCCCAAACCGAAAAAAAAAATAAAAACAAATTGATTAAACATACATACAATTTTTTAGAGATCTTTTAGAAGTAAGTTAGTTTAATATGAAATATTATACTGAAAATTCAATTTCTGAATTTTTACCCACTACACGCTACCTCAAATTAATGAGGGAAAAATTGTTGTTGTTGTCACAACCCCGCCGGGAATCGAACCCGAGACCTTTGGCATTACGCACCAATGTTCTGACCACTAAACTACGAGAGGTGACAACAACAACCACGACCAACCGACCTACAAGGTTAACGATCCGTCGAACTAATGTAACTATATACTGAATATACTATGATTAAANATGTCTAAAAAAATTGTATGTATGTTTAATCATAGTATATATTAGTTCGACGGATTTGTGACCTAATAAGTACGGTTTGTCGTTGTTGCTGTTGTCATCTCTCGTAGCTTAGTGGTCAAAGCATTGGCGCGTAAAGCCAAAGAGCCCGGGTTCGATTCCCGGCGGGGGTGTGACAACAGCAACAAATTTTTCCTCATTAATTTGAGGAAGTGTGTAGTGGGCAAAAAAGAATTCAAGAAATTCATTTTCAGAATAATATTTCATAAAAAACAAATTGATTTACCCCAACATAAATAACAAAAGCACACAAAAGAAACAAAATATATACAAATAAGTAACATACTTAACCCAATTCTAACATAAGGTAATCTAAAAAACATAGGTATCCTAACTAATATTATGAATGCGAATGTGAGTTTGTTTGTTTGTCGGTCGGCTTTTCACGTCTTAACTACTCAACCGATCATAATGAAATTTTGTAGACACATCGTTATGGGTACAGAAAACAACATAAGGTACCTTTTATCCGGAAAAAAATACTGTTCCAGAAGGATAGAAATAGTAGTTTTATGTAGACAATCAAAAATCTTTTTTTTTTTATCAACTTTTATTACTTAAATAAATAATAAATTTATCGCAAATAAATCTTATAATGAAACGATTATAAAATGAGAAGCTGAACATAAATAAAAATGAGGACTTTTAAAATCAAGACATAAAATTGTTTTGAAAGAATTTTCATGGCCCCATTATGATTTAGTTAAAAAAAAATAATTAAGACGGATTGTGTACCCTCTTTCCCTTCGTAAGAAGTCTCACTTAATTTATGGAAAGGCCCTTACGAAAAACTTACATAGAAAAATCTTCTCGAAGGTATCTTTTTACTGTACGGCGCGGGACGTATAGCGTCACCAAGTATGGCTCGTTCTAAATTGCGCAGTACAGCAGTGCGCATCTAATTTGCCGAGTAGGCATGTTTTTTTACGTTTAGAATTTGGCAACTGAAAATACCGAAATTGATGCGCGGACGCTGAATGCGTAGCACACGAGCACGTTTTCTATCCTTTATTGGTGATAATGAATTTTAGATTCATTCGCTTGGCGTTAAATTTTTGTTCCTGTCTAGTCTTCTTGAATGGGAGCCTCACATATGAGCAAAAAAAGAACTGACACCCCCCGGGGGGGAGGAGAAACTTTCATCCACCGTAACCTAACCAACCGTAGTTAATATAAAGCAAACCTTAGACCATGACGACTTCAGACAGATGTAATCAGATGTGAAAACTGTCCAGTTTTCATAAAATAGTTGAGCGTTGCGAAAAAATCCATTAACCTTTTACATACCAAAAATAACAATAAAATTAAAACTAGAAAGCGCATTATTAACATTGATATGGTTACTATAGAAGGAAACTGGGTAAGTTTGTTAATATTTTTCAAGTCAAATTGGTGACACAATCACAACTAGGGTTGCCACCCGTACTTTATTATAAAGTACTGTACTCTATTTCGACTGTGCGTACGTTATAGTTTACAAGACACATAAAGTACGCAAAAATACTTTATTTAAGGCCTTAAGTAAACATTGTAATTTGGTAAGCGATTATTCGAAATTCAGAGTACTTTTACATCATCATCAATATTACACAGAAAAATGGCAAGCCATATTTACGGAACATCCTGATTTCCCAAATCTGTTCAAAGTAGTGTCACTTTTGCTGTCCGTTCCGGCCACTTCAGCATTTACAGAAAAAGTATTCTCTCTTATGAATACAAAGTGGCGGGACGACAGGAATAAAGCTTCATTAAAACTAATTACAAATGGACTTTTAGTTTAATTAAATCTTTATTTGCTTTGTTTAGAGGCTATTAATATATTTAAGAGCGACAGCAATTTGTTACTGGCTGATAGGTGTAACAAAAATATGTTTTTAAAAACAAAAAATAAAATACTTTATTTTTATGCTGAGTACTTCCTTTTTAACCATTTAGTCGACAAATACTTTATGTAAAGCCTGAAAAGGTGGCAACCCAAATCACAACGCTCTCACTATTTTATGAAATTTGTTGAACGGTTTTCTCATATTTATGATGTGCAAACCTGATGCCAGTTCGCTACCAGATAATTTAAACTTTGTATGTTGGTATGTTTACGTTTCATTAAACAGCCAGACGCGGATCGCGATTTCGATCTCTTTAGATCTCATCAGCGCGTCGCAGACAGTTTCGACAGAACACAGACCAATTTTTACCTTGTCTTAATAGCGCGTTTTATAAAATACCACAAATGGCGCGGTAAACGCCATCTGTAGTACAATACTATATTTGGTGGAATTCGTTATGCTGAATAAGGTCCATTTAGCGACGTGCTGATGAGATCGAAATCGCGATCCGCGTCCAAATGAGTATTAGTGCATGTATTGTGTTTTCTTTCAAAAATACACGTTCCTTCTATACATTATAGCTATGTACGTTGAGGTGTTATTTTTTTTCTGTTTTCCCCACTTTTTCGCACGCTAAATCGCTATAAAAGGCACAATACCTAAGAATATTCTTCAGAAAATTTCTTAATAATTTTTATGGTGCTAAAATGTCCACACGCAATGAGCTTAACAATATTATTCCGCCACACTTTAGCTTCTTCAGTTCTTAAGATGTTACAACAATCTTGAAGAAGTCAGTGCTGCGAAGCAATATTATGCTAGATGTTTATCTAAAGGGCAAATTTTAGCGGTGTTGTAGAGCACTTTAAATAGCTCAAACCTCAACGCCAAAATACGACACTAATTGTAAAAGCCCGAAGTACTTTTCTGATTTTCGGTAACAAAGTTACCATTTTTGGGTACTGAAGGGAACTAAAAAATAAAGACAAATAGAACATTTGGTAAAACAGCCTCCTTCAACTATATACACGATCAGGACAGCACTCACCACGTTCGTGTTAACTATTTCTTTTCTGCCGCCAAAAGAAAATGTTCGTAGGCTGTAGAGAGCCAACAACACATCTGCCGAACATTTAAATACTAACTATTACGAACGGTTTGATAACCTTATTCCAAATTGGATAAAAACCTAATTACCCCTTATTTAAAACGTACTAATATGTATATCATGGTGTTACAGGCGAGTGATGCGGATACCGTGGGTAGAGAAGGTTAGAAATGAAGAGGTATTAGAAAGAATAAGGGAATAGAGGACTCTATGGAAGTCAATAAGAAATAGACAAGATAGGTTAGTAGGACACCTTCTCAGGCATGAAGGTCTAGTCAGAGACATATTAGAGGCAGAAACAGGAGTTAGGAGGGGTAGAAGTAGACCTAGAATAGATTACTGTTTGCAAATAGTTAAGGATATAGGTTGTTCTAGTTTTAGGGAAATGCGAAGATTAGCTCAGTATAGGAAAGAATGGAGGAGCGTGTCCAACCAGTCTTAGGACTGACGACCTTACGATGATGATGATGATGATGAATATGTATATCGAGTCCAACATTTCCCTGTATGTACTATTAGTCCAAAATGCAAAAACCAGGTAAGTTGATGCGACCAGTTGTCTCTGGAATTGATTCACCGAATTATAAATTGGTATAAAGTGGTTGACAAGTAATTTCAATAATCTCACAATAAAACAGTCTAATTTTTCAGTAAAGAACTCAAACTGAGTTCATAAGTAAACTCAAAAACTTTAAGTTAAAAAGTAGTAAGGTTTTGGTTTCATCTCATGTTTGTTTTTTTTCCAAGTGCACCAGTTCCACTTACTTTGACATATTTGGAGGATTTACTCAAAGAGAATGGTTTTATATTGCTCTAGTCGTGTGAATCTTGCACCCGATATAAATAATCAGCTGATTTAATCTTTATCAATAAATTGTACGGCGTTTACAGGTTCTAAGTATGTAAGTAGCATAGTTCCTCATAGCTCTTCCCTCCTTCTGTTCATAGAAGCAACCTTTATCAGAAAATAATTTTACAAACTTCAATCTCTTCTATTAAAAAACCAAAATAACTAATTATATCAAATTTTAAGGGCATAATAAAAATATAGAGTACTACATAACAGCGTACAAAAACAAAAAAAAATCACAGAACAAGCCCATTTTGCAAAGGTTACGTAGAATAGCAACTAATATTATTACCTCTAAAAAGACAACTGCATTTATCGTAAAAAAAATGGTGGGATGCAGGGTTCACGAGAATGCTATCGTAAATAAATATGTGTATTTGTAAATATTGCTTAGATTTTGTAAAATATGTATCATAATATATTGTTTTGTGATGAACATGAAATATTATCATTCTAATTAGTTTAAATCTAAAGAAAACCCGCTTCTAACTGAAATCCCAAAACAAAAATGTTTAATTTGAAGAGACTGAAACAAAATTATTAATAGCAATGAATGTGTAGGCAATCACCGGAAAAAAATAGTCAGAAGCAAAACTGAAACTTTTCACAGACTGTATTAACTGTATGGTAAAATATCCAAACTCCAAACCACCTTATTACCCTCAATAGCAAAGTTGTATCCCAACAGAAACTTCATTTATCAATTTATCATAAGGACGGTGCATTGCGTGACAGTGCTAAAAGTATCAAAAAAATGATTTGGAGATCATCATGATTCGATCATGACATATCTTTGAAGTCCTGCCCCGATAGCAGTCTCGATTTAAATGTAACAGAAACTAGCATAAAATGAAACATCTTGGAAACCATCTGCAGAGAACAATTCTTCAATTACACACAAAACTACAAGAAATTGGAATGCATTTACACACAAAGTTTTCAAGCATTGGTTAAGACTATTACCTGCATGATTTCCCTTCTTCTTTGCTAAGAATTAATGAATTTGCAAATAAAGGTATTACTGGAGAAAATAGTTATTACGTACTGCATATAATCTGCCAGTAAATGCTTTTATTATAAGTCTTCAAACTTAAAAGAGTTATTAGAATTTAGATGTTCAACTTGCCTTTAGTTTTTAGTTCTCGTACCTAATGAAGATAAGCTTGTTACCGAAAAGTATCTCGGACGGTTAATATCGTGTATTGCCATTGGAGTTTGAGCTATTTAGTATTCTCCTAAGTATTTACTTATAAATGAAAAATAGCCCATGCATCTCTAACATACAACTATTATTAAATTTATAAATATTTCCTACACCTATTGTACATTTATCATATATGCCTTATTTTAAAGAGCATATTACAATATTCTAGGTTTATAGGTACACTGATCATAGTATTATTTTAAAAGGGTTTTTATTTAAGAATGGCTTACCATGTTTACTGGTGTTTTCTTTCAGAAGTTCCAAAAAATTATGAAATTATTTCCTGCTGAATGTTGAATCACCAAATCCACGAATCTACTACTTAAGTATCCGTCGAGAATCAACTTCATTATCGTAATTGCTCATATTTGTAATCGTAATAACAAACATACACGAAATTGATAACAAAAGTGCAAAATTGGTGTATTCCATAGGTCTACTCTCTACAATCTATGATTGATTGGTACATGTATTCCATAGACAAATATATTCTAAAGTTCTATAATTATAATATAGTTACATATTTAGAACCCCCAAACAACGCGCAATTTATTTATAAAGTTTAAATCAGAGGATTATTTATACCGGGCATAGATAATAGATACCGGGTATCAAATTCACACGACTACATGGGTACGATGGGTACATGATTACTATCAATTATTATCCGTATATATGCAATCATTTTATGCTACTAGTGGCTCATGTAGCGTACCGTATGTGTGTTGTCGAGCTGCGACTTATAAACCACAGAAAATACAATTAGTTGGGCGAGTATCATGCTTTTCTGAGGTTGAGGTGTTAGAATAAAACGTGGCTCTATTGTCTGGATATTACGTACACTTGTAAAAATAAAAATAAATATAGCTAAGAAATGTAATATTATTGTCAACGCCAAGGAGTCTATAGGAAGGAGTCACATTTAAGGATTAAAATTTTTAACACAAAGTTTAAAACATAAACGTCGACGTTTACTAATGGACATGCCTTAGCGATCAGAATTGTGGTACAACAAAAGAAAGAGATGGAACGAAGTTTCGGATAATATCCATCTCTCTCACGATAGTGCGTAAGCGTGTCATGAAAGAGATAGCACTAGTCCCAAACTACGCCATCTCCCTCACTTTTCGAGACAAGAAATTATTACGACTTACGGCTAAGGCACGTCCTTTAATATGTCTATGATTTTGACTGCCCTTATGGACCATAGACTTATGAACCGAGTCGGCAACGGGACTTCATTCAAACAAGTCAATATGCAGACACTATGGAAGACACCATTGACGTAATTAATGGACGTGCCTTAGCGGTCAGAATTGTGGTACGCCAAAAGAAAGAGATGGAGCGAAGTTTCGGACAATATCTGACTCTCTCACGACAGTGCCGTACTTCAGAGAAATTTTCTCAAACGCTTCAAATAAATTTTAAAATTACGATTATGATTAGTTGACAAAAATAAATTCTTGAATAGTAAATTAATTCATTTTCATAATGATTTAATATGATTATTAATATTAATTTTCAAAGAGTGTAAAAGAAGAATTTTACTGTAAATTAAAAAAAAAGTAAATAATTATTTTTAAAATTAATTTTTGTCTGATGCCAGCTAATTTCAGTGTCATACGTAAATATAATTCAAAAAACTAACTGACACCGTGTTTGAACAAAAAATATCTGTTGCAATTATTATTATCGTAATTGTTATCTTTCTTAGCATTATTGTATTTATTGTTTTTGTTATTATTGTATTTGAGATTTTATTTTTAACTGAATAAGGGAATAATTAATATTATTATAACATTTTTCAGTTTACCTTAGTGAAATATTGTATTGCACGTAATGTTAATAATTACTACATTAACTATTGTTTATNCTGAACCATTTTTTAAATTATTTAAAAAATTAATTTAATTTACAAATTCACCACGCAATATTAAATTTTACTACATGTACTTGTGTACGTAGTACTGAAGTACTGAAGACGCAAATATTTCTATGCCGTTCCTGCCGAGAAACCGAGAGCCAATCGCGTGTAATGAAAGAAATAGCGCTAGTCCGAAACCATACGCCATCTCCCTCACTCTTTTCGAGCCAAGAAATTATTACGACATATGGCTAAGGCTCGTCCATACTTTACGTCGATGGAAGACACTAATGACTACTACCATCGACACTACTACTAAAATCTATGGGAGAAGCAAATCTTTTATCCATCGAGATATGCGGGAGCGCGAATTTTAATCTTGCGGGCGTTCGCGAATGGCCAGCACTCAGCATTGAACAGTTCATGAGCTTCAATTAAATACATATTAAGTATGTGTTGCTAGTTCATTTTTTATTGTGTATTTTAACAAAATTTATATGGTTGAAATAAATTATCTCCATATATTTAATTAAAATAACGGCATATGTATGCCACTTCTGATTAGCCACTCAAATCTAGCTAATAATTTATTTCACTTTATATGTATAAATGTTCATGTAGTCAATATAAGTGAAATATGTACATCACTTCTGTAGCCGTAAGTACAAGGTGTTAATTTATAGTCTTTGTTTGCATCAATACACCACTTGCCGTTATACCAGAAGTTGACATCAACTCCATTATTTTAAATGGAATACCCTGTATGTTATACGTTATGAATTCTGTTTATGATTTTAGCTGAAGTTTGGCTTTCTCCTAAGTATATTTAAAATTTCCCTTTACTTTACTTTTTTTTAAAGAAGTTACAGTAGTTTGTTTTATTTTTATCTTCTTTCTGAAATCATCTTTGGTTTTAATAGTTTTTATAAAGATTTCAGACATCTTGATAAGGAATGGAAAAAGAAATCTCCAGGTGTAACAAAATGTATTTTATCGTCACAAAAAAAGGAACAAAATGACTTACTAATGAATAGCTTACTAACTAGTTTTTACATGTACACATGTCTACAATACAAAATAAATCAGTCTATTATGAAATACTAAATATTTAAGAAGTTGAGGTAGCCTTTTCTTTATTTTCAGCACCCTTTTCAATTTTCTCTTTTTCTTTTTCTGGTCCTGTGAAGTCAATGGGCAGCTCACGAACTTGTTCCGCAATTCCTTTTCTAGGGGCAACTATAGTCAAAACACCATCAGATGACAATTTGGTTGTTACATCCTTTACATCGTGCCCTTCTGGTAAAACGAATTTTCTTACGAAATGTCTTGAAATAAAACCTTTTCCTGCTTGTTCCTCTTCGTGTTTACCTTCAATTACAATAGAACGTCCATTAATCGATTTCACTTTTATTTCTTCTGGGGCAAAATTTTGAACATCTAATTTCACTTGAAATTTATCCTTGTCGTGGACTATCTGCTCTGGTTCTTCCACAAATCCTGCACCAACTCTTGGAAATCTACTGAATGCACTTGGAGGGCCATAGAAAATGTCGTCAAATACCCTCATTTGCTGTTCCAGTTGCCTCAGGGGGCGCATTAATTCACGCATTACATACCGTGGTAAAAGAGACATTTTTAACAACTTTGTGCAATATTTCAAAACCGAATAATGCTCTGTGTTCAAGCGTCTAACGCACTCGCCGACTCGCTACTTAATGTTTTTGTTTTCTCGAAGCAGAAATATTTATACGGCACGCTACACGTGGGATTGAATTTTCTAGAAAATAATAAAAGGCATGACTACAGTTATATGCAAAAATAATTAGGAAGTTTTCAATGTTTATTATTAATTCAATGTTTAGACTTCGTTAGTTTTATCGGTTAGTTGTTATTTCGAGACTACGGATTTTGTCCTAAAAATGTAATGATTAATTATATCAAAAATTGCTTTCAAATTGGAGTAAAGGGATGTTACAACTTTTTTTGCAGGTAACTGTAAAAATAAAGGAATAATCCAGAACCGACTTCTCCGAAAAATGCCCAAAAACGAACTCTCCAGAATTCTCTAGAATATGTTTTGAATTATATCTACTTTATACAAATCCAAATAAAAAAGTTAATAAGTAAAAAAAGGGGTGTGTGAATATTAAGACATTTATTTGTATTTATTTTAAGGTACAATTCTATGGTGGGTAGGTGCTTGTCTACAGTAGGCATGTAGTGCAAGTTTTTAAAGGTTACTAACAGAATGTGGTAGGTGCCAGGTATAATTATCGTTATGATCATGATTATCATTTATCACAATTACTTATGTATTAATTGTAAATTGATTAATGGGAATGAAACGTGAGCACAGTTAAAGGAAAAAATAGTGGTTGTGACTTTTAACCTAGAAAAGGTTTTTTAGTATCTAGTTCTGCAGCATTTATTTTAGTGAAAATGTCTCGTATTATTGTAAAGAATCTTCCAAAAGATGTAAGGAACTGTTTTTTTAAATTTTAATATTTTATATCTTATGAGTTGTAATTCAGATTACTGAGGATAAACTACGAAAATTATTTAGTGAAAAGGGCACAATAACGGATATACAGTTAAAGTACACTCCAGATGGTAAATTTAGACAATTTGGATTCGTTGGATATCAAAATGAAAAAGAAGCTGAGGAAGCAATAATATATTTTAATAATTCTAGAATAAAAACAAATAAAATAGTTGTTCAACCTTGTGCTTTGTTGGGTATGTTTAGTCATTAAGGGCTAACATTGAGAAAAATTAATTGCTCCTGGGTCTTTACAGGAGATGAAGGAAAACCAAAAACTTGGAGTAAATATACGAATGATAGAGTTAAGGATCATCCTCCTGTTTCAGTTGACAACGAAAATGATAAGAAAGCAAATAAAGTTAAAATAATAGAATTATTAGAAAAGGTAGTTTATAAACTTGTTTTTATTTTATATAATTCACTGATTTTTAAATAATATTGTTTTTAATAACTTACTTGTGAAATGATCTTCGAGGTTCTTTATTAGCTTTTCATTTGCAGATGAAACAGTACTGAACCATTTTTTAAATTATTTAAAAAATAAATTTAATTTACAAATTCACCACGCAATATTAAATTTTACTACATGTACTTGTGTACGTAGTACTGAAGTACTGAAGACGCAAATATTTCTATGCCGTTCCTGCCGAGAAACCGAGAGCCAATCGCGTGTAATGAAAGAAATAGCGCTAGTCCGAAACCATACGCCATCTCCCTCACTCTTTTCGAGCCAAGAAATTATTACGACATATGGCTAAGGCTCGTCCATACTTTACGTCGATGGAAGACACTAATGACTACTACCATCGACACTACTACTAAAATCTATGGGAGAAGCAAATCTTTTATCCATCGAGATATGCGGGAGCGCGAATTTTAATCTTGCGGGCGTTCGCGAATGGCCAGCACTCAGCATTGAACAGTTCATGAGCTTCAATTAAATACATATTAAGTATGTGTTGCTAGTTCATTTTTTATTGTGTATTTTAACAAAATTTATATGGTTGAAATAAATTATCTCCATATATTTAATTAAAATAACNAAACAAATAAAGAAGAAAACAACACAGAGGCTTGCATAAAAAAAAAAGAAAAAGTGAAGTTATATACAATTAAGGTAAGTAATATGCTATTTTATGATTGTTTTATTACATTTATTCATTCATACATACATGCATACATACATACATACATAAATACATACACAGGTACATTATTACCATAACAAAAGTAAAGAAACTTTGGTTTTGTGCAAAAAGAAAACGTCTATAATTAAAGTTTAAAAAAGATTATTTATGGATGAAGCTTATTGGTTTTGTTTTACAGAAATAAATATGCTGTAATTTTAGGAAGAAAGAGTGTGACTACTGTTTGTAGGCAACTTCCCTTATCCAAATACTCGGTATGTTTAAGATAATTTTACGTTATAACGAAAACAGGCCGAAATTTGAACGGCCTAGTAAAAATACATCCTCTATGAATAAAAGAATTTGTCAAAAATATCCATGGATGTCAGAACCAAGAATAATTGTTGAAATTCTTGTTCCAGGATTAGTTGAAATGAAAATCTACATCAGACATTCACTCAAGAAAAAAAAGTTAATTCTGATGAGTGAAGTGTGTAAAGCGTTTAGTTAATAAGATATACACATAATGTAAATACTTCTACTAAAAAATTTATTGGAAGCGAAAGAGCAAAAAATCGGGTTTTCGCATATTTCTTTTAAACTATAGGTGAATGTTATTGTAAAGATTAGTCAGGCATTTCTCCTCATTTCTTATATTCGATTCAAGTTTACAAACCATATAACAAAATAATTCGACTTTTACAGCTTTAACTGTAACCCTTTTTGCAGTACCTATTGTTAGTTACAAACTATTATAAATTAATTTTCAACCCCAGTTTTCTGGGTTCAGTTCATTTCCTAACTACACTTGAACTTGAGAAAGCGAATTCCATTTATTTGTAAGGATGTCGTGTGAAGAATAGTTGATCTTTGTAAATATGTATGCGTAGTCAATTAAATCATAACGGTTTTTAAACAATTTAATGCCTGTTGTTTTACCCCTTTTGAAAATTGTGTCTGTAGTTTCGCAGCCAATTATTGCATATGTAAATAAAGAAAGATAGTGTTAACTTGACATTCCGACAGTGCTGTATTTAGAAGGGAGGCGTATGGTGTTATAAAAAGGTACCTATGTGTGTATGTGTATACTAGTATAAAAAATTCCTTAATGGGTGGATAGGTCTATTGACGAACCACCTATAAAAAAGGGTAATGCACCTTAAAAATGCATCAGTGGTGGTTTGGAAATTTAATAAAATTACCTATCCAGGGGATATTAATTGACCTATTAATATTGACGTAACGTTAATTTTTTCTTTTGTATTGTTAATACCATGTTGAGGTGTATTTTAAACAGTACTGCATACTATCGGCGATAAACAAAGTAGTTATTTGATTAACTTTTATTGCAATGAGCGTATACAGTAGCGTAGTAATAAGCTGTTGGTATTTACGTTACACAATACAACCATCACTGTTTACATTCTCCTCCGTCGATGTAGCTGCTTAGTTATCGCAATTTTTCTATATGTTGTTAATTCCCGTTCAGACCTTATTTCGGATTGCAACTTCTTCTAATTTTTATGCCCATTCATCACGCTGCTTTGCTCGCCATGCAATTCTCTATTACAGCTAGTTAATACCCTCCAAAGCTTGCATTTTGGTGTATTACTGTATATCTTTCTGTTTGATGGACTTTGTCACTGTACAATATCGTTACTACTGAGATAGATATACAGCTGATAAGACATTGTTAATATTTATAAAAGAAATTACTAATGCGTAGCAAGAAAAATTTATTAGAAAGCAAAATCGTTTCGATCTTATATTTATTTCTCTTATTCAATGTTTATTTGTTTTGTTAAGGGATTCTTTTATTTTAATGTGTAATATGGAAACGTGCTATATATTTGAATTTCTATTGTAGCTTAAAGGATTGCCATACAAATGTAAGAAAAAAGATATAAAAATATTTTTGAAGCCACTTATTCCTTATACCATAAGAATACCACCAAAAGTAAAAGGTTTTGCATATGTTGGATTCAAAACAGAAAGGCATGCAAATCAAGCTTTGTTAAAAAATAAAAGTTTTATTGGTAACGCAATTAGATACATGCGTAGGGAGTCACTGAATTTAAATCATTTTCTTTTTAGCTGGAAAACAGATTCAAATAATAAAGTACACTGAAAAAGGCAATACTGAAGAAAACAACGTGGACCCTAAACTAAAGAAATGGAAAACACAAGAGGAATCCTTACAAAATGAAGAGGACATTGCCGAGTCAGGAAGGATATTTATCCGGAATTTGGCATATACAACTACAGAGGACGATATAGAAAAATTGTTTGCAAAGTTTGGTAATTAGCTGTTTATTTTTTATTTGCTGTACCTAAAGGTATTATATTTCAGGACCTATAACAGAAGTTAATTTACCAGTGGATCCAATAACCAGAAAATTAAAAGGATTTGGAGTCATTACCTTTTTGATGCCCGAGCACGCAGTAAAGGCTTATTCAGAACTTGATGGTACGATACATCAAGGAAGAATGCTGCATTTGTTACCAGGAAAAGTAAAAGATACATACCAAGAAACAGGTAAAGAACCTGTACCATATAGTATATGTATATTTTGTGAATATATAAGAAATCAAATTGTTTAAACAAAAATGCTTCGTCATTTTCGTCGAATAAAAACCTATTGGGAAATATTGAGTAAAATTAATCAAAAAAAAAAGTTGCCGGATAGTTGCACAGTAAAAATTCGTATCTATATGGGCGCTTAAAAAATGCTAGCCGCCTTATTTAATACAAGAAATTATTATATGTTTGTTTAAAAAGAATTTAAAATTCTTTTATAGTTTCAATTATTTAACGTTTGTTAGTTAGTCATTTATTTACTTTTAAATTTCGTTTCTGTTTGCAAGTTTACTTATCTTGTTTTGCATTCATGGTCTACCGATCGAATTTTTTCCCTTATCACTTAAAATAAACGGTGATTGGAATGTTTCACCAATTTAAATTAATGCTATTATTTTCTCTTACTGTCTAAATTGTTGTATGTTTTATTTATTCAGATTTAACAAACTACAAACAAGCCAAGGCTTCTAAAGAAAAGTTGGAAGCAGGCTCTTCACATAATTGGAACAGTTTATTTTTGGGCCATGATGCCGTGGCCGAAGTAATTGCTGAAAATTATGGAACAACAAAGGAAGCCGTTTTAGGTCCCCACGGGGACAGTAATGCCGCAGTAAGGCTAGCATTAGGCGAAACTCAGATCATTCAAAACACAAAAAAATTCCTAGAAGAAGAGGGAGTTGTCTTAGACATGTTTGAGAAGGTATTCTTCTAATTTTCTTAGGCTTGAAAGGTTGAAGTTTGTAAGTTTTTTAATTAAATTGAATCATTTTCTCAGTGTATATATAAATTTTTATTATTTTTTGCAAAATATTCTAATAATTTTAATTACATAAAAAGAAATAACAGGCAGTTTAAAAGGAACAATTTTGAAAATTCATATTTACGTATTGTATACCTCAATATTATATATGTAAATATGTAACTTCAATAAGAACAAAAACACTACATAGTCTTAAAGGAATTCCAAAGAAAAATCTAAAGTTCTCGAATAAGCAATGAAAATAGCACCATTTTCTAAATCTGGCGTAACGTAATAAATTATTTTGAGAAAGCTAAACATAGGCAATTAAAATTTGTCATTTCTTTATTTCTAAAGTAACTGTGTATTGTGATTTTAGCCAATAAAGAGAAGGTCAAAAAATATTATTATTGTAAAAAATTTGCCACATGGTACGTCTGCTGAAGAATTAAGGGAAGTTTTTGAAAAACACGGGATTTTAGGCAGAGTAATTTTACCACCATCTGGTATTACAGGTATTGATTGTAAATAACAATTTTTAAAAACAGCTTGATAATGCTTCATTTTTACACCAGCTTTAATCGAGTTTATTGAACCATCTGAAGCCAGGAAAGCTTTCAATAAATTGGCCTACTCAAAATTTAAACACATACCACTTTTTTTGGAATGGGCTCCTGACGGTTCTTTACAAGAGAAAACTTTCTCGGAAATCAAACAAGTGACTGAAAGTCATAGTAAAAATATAGATGAGAAGAAAGAGGAAGAAAATAAAAATGGTAAAATTACCAATCAAATTGAAGAAGAGGAAGAGGAGGAAGAGGTTCCAGAAGAAAATACAACATTGTTCGTTAAAAATTTAAATTTCCAAACAACTGATGAAACTCTTAAAAAGGTAAATAGATCAGAACTAATTAAATAACCGCCATAATATTTTCTTTTGTTAATAAAACTACGGACGAAAACCTGATTGTGTTAAGCAAAACAAAATGTTGTGTCCATAAAATAAACTTTTAACTGCCACCACTCGCACAACTTAAAATTAACTGGCAAATTGGTCATAGACATTGAATTTTTGAAATGAGTTGTGTAATTCCTTACTAACAAGCTCAAACTTTTCCTCTTTATAATATTAATGTAATAGTATAGTTTGCTGAAAGAAATTGTTCATCCAGAAACAGTTTTTCGGTTTCACCATAATAAATAAATTATTTAGATATAAACAGTTATGGTATGAAAAGCAGTAATATAGCGCTAAGGTTAAGAATTTGCAGTAGAATAGCATTTCTTCTTAAATTTCCGTTAGTGGCAGAATAGTCCTTTGTATTAACCACGGGGGGGGCACACTATAATATAGACACGACGCATAATTATTATGTGAACAAAGTTTGCTACAATACTATTTTATATTTCATTTTTTAGCACTTTGAAGAGTGTGGTAAAATATTTTATGCAAATGTTGCCGTTAAAAAAGATAAAAACAATCCCAAAAATCGATTATCGATGGGATATGGTTTTGTGCAGTTCTATCACAAAACAAGCTGCAATAAAGCGTTAAAAACACTTCAAGCTAGCGTATTAGATGGAAAAACATTGGAATTAAAACGATCTGAAAGGACTTTGAAGTAAGTTTTAATTTTACTGTTATAATACTTGTTGGAATTTATTATTAACCAATAGACTGATTACGACATTTGAACATAATTCTTTATAGGGTAAAAATGTTAAAACACTTGCTGCAAGTTTCACAATTTTATTTTATAACTTGACGATACCGACTCAGTTATTACACCTTTTCCACATGTGATCCTTTTTTGAAAATATTTACATGTTTCACCAACCCCATAATTTCCGATGTAATTATTTATAATAGAATTAAGATTTATGTTGATGGACTGTGGTCGAAATTAATGTTTAAGTTAAACATTGTCGAAGACTTATCGCACGTTTTTTTAATTAATATATAGTAGTATAATTATAAAAGTAATAACATTAACAGGGAAGTTATCGTTTACATTAATTTATATAAAAAGGAACCACTATAAAACCACTAAGTTAATTACAGAATTCCAACATAAACGGTTAATAGTCGTTGCATTTTCTTGTATTATCACATTCTATTTTAAAAGTAGTTGCATTAATAATTTATTTTTTATTCCCGTGGTTAGGACTGATGTTAAATATACATCCAAGAAACCCAAAGTTACAAAACAAACAGGAACAAAAATTCTTGTTCGCAATGTTCCATTCCAAGCTAATAGAAAGGAAATTTGGGAACTATTTAACACATTTGGAGAGTTAAAAACAGTTCGTTTACCAAAGAAAATGTCTATAGAACAAAATGCACACAGGGGCTTCGCTTTTGTTGATTTTGTGGCAGCAAATGACGCAAAGGTAAGTTTTAGAATTTCAGTTGAAGAGACACAGTACTAAACTACTGGGGATACAATTGTTTTCTTTTATTGGTATGATTTTTTTGAAACTAAACCTCTAGAAAATTGAGTCAATTTATTTTTAGGTTTTGTGTAATAGATACACTGATGTGCAATATATGTACAGTGTACCAGACTTTTTTGTAAAATTTATGAACGAGAATAAGCTTGCGTTCATTATTTTCACATGTTTTTAATGATATGGCAATGTGCACCAAAGAACGCCTGAGACCGTTGATTTTTCTATTGGGAATAATCGTTCTAAATGGGCTAACCAAAACGTGTACAAATTATACACCAAACCTATCCTTATAAATCAACTTACGCATAAGTCAAAACTATTATAACAGAGTAGGTTCAAGAGATTAATCCATAGCTAATGGTCTTACGAATAAAAGTCATAAAGTGGCAATAAAATACAAATAAATTTACTGCAATTATCACTTCATCACAAGTTCGTCAGGTTGAGGCAATCTTTGCATATCCCGAATTATATCTACAAATCGTTACCATTTCGAATTTCCTACACATTTTTATATTGTCAAAGTATACAGAATCTGTTGTATATCAGTAGAAATCAAGTAATATACCTATATATGTATGCAAAAGTTCGAAAACTTGAAATAAAACTAAGTCCTTATACAATGGAATGTAAAATTTATTTAGAATTATTCGAAGTACATCTGTTCTAGAGAAATACACCAGTTGCAAATTGCTCTTTGAATTATAATTGAGTTTTACGAATTAAAAATAATTGCTCAATGCCAGATCCGGAAAGTAGGGTGAATGATCAGTGATATAAATCGATTTTGAAGCCAAAACAATGCGAAATTTATGTGTGTGTTCAGGCGCGTTGTCGTAGAAAAGCTACTAGCTACTTTCTCTTTGTACTGTGAATGAAACAATTCTTTAATGTAAACGCTGTATATCTATATTGTTGACTGCTTGGCGTGCCAGAACGAATTCATTGTGAATTAGATTAGACAATTCGAGTCAAAAAAAGTGATGGCATTGTATTTATTTTTGACTTTTGCGAACGTATTTTTTTCATGATTTTCGACCACTTGAAATATTTGAATCGCTTGAAAATGTTTGTTTCTGATAGTGATTTATTCCCGTACGCCACATTTTCATGTTCGTTTTTTTTTATATCCATTTTTAGATGAGAAAACACACTGCTTACTTAGATTGGATTGCTAAGATGCAAGAGAAATGGGATACTATACTGAAAATTTTCGCTTCAGTAGACAAGACTTTTGAACACACAAAACATATTTACGATAGTAGATGGTGCCACCACTTGTTCTTTAAAAAAATAGTTTCCGAACTTTTGTTGTACACCCTGTAGATTTGATATTTATAATTCTAGTCATTTTAGTATTTTAAATAAGGGGGTGGATATACTTCCTTTTTCATTTGTTAAACGTGTGAAATTTTAGAATTTAGTGTTTTATTTAGAATTATCGGTTTTTTGCCTATTTGACATAAATAGATTAAAAGTATTCAAAAACAAAATAATATTTCAACTACCAGTTGAAAAATTAAAAAAGCGTTTATGCCTTTTTTTATCTTTACAAGACTGGCACATACAGCGAAGAATAAATTAGCAGCTTGAGTGAAAAGCACATAATGTTTTAATAATAAAAATCGATGCTGTAATTGCAATTTTGTATTTTTTTCTTGTTTTGTAACGTTTGTTTATTTTGCTTTTCTGTTTCTTAATTTGCAGAAAGCTTTTGAAGCCCTTTGTCAAAGTACGCATCTGTACGGAAGACGTTTGGTATTAGAATGGGCTGCTACTGAAGGATTAGAGGAGATAAGGAAAAGAACTGCGGAACATTTTCACTCTGCTGAAGAAGTTAAATCCAAGAAAAGCATTCTCAATGTCGAAATAACATGAAATAGGTATCTGTAATTTTTACAATAATAATGATAATAATGTTACATATCTTTTATTAGTAATATATATAAAGAATATTCAATAATCCGAATAAAAAAAACAAAAGAAAGCATATATACACCATTTTGTATTGAACTGTTGTAGAGCTCTTTACCAACTTGATAGTATTAATTATATATTATTAAACGTACTGGATGAAGCATTCAAGGTAATTGTTTTGTTAAAAATGTTTCTACTGAACTTAAGTAAATTTTTATTCCTTAAATATTTACATTACTAATAAACAATTTAGATAATAACGATTTTTTAAGAGTACAACAATCGAGGTTCTAATATTTCTTCCCATTTACAAGTAATTTCTTTTGTATTCATTTCCTCAGTATCTTCTAAAGAAAATTTTCCCTTTGGTTGGCTTAGTTGATCACCGCCATCTAAGATAAAAAAAAAATAAGCATAACTTTTTGTGTACTAATAAAAGGAAAATAATTTCTTGCATAATATTCTTATTAAAGTGTTTCAAACTGAATTTCTTAAAGATGAACGAAAAATTAGATGTATTAGCTTACATCCTTCTACATGTTCATAACTATTTGCTTAAAATAATCCGAAGAACGATACATTTCAAAACTAAGGTGAAAGTTGCACCTAATTAGAATTATTATTATTATTTTAATTAGCCCAGGTAAAATATTTATTATATTAATTATCTTATTTATTTTGATGGTAAAGGTGTAGCACACAAGGTTAGAATCCCTCGAATGTTGAAAGTTGAAGGAATCATCGTTGTTTACTGCTTGCAGATGGGTCACGGGACAGAGCTCTGATATTAACTTTGAAAGAACCAATCAAATCACGAATAAAATGTGGCGTCTGAATCTGGCCAATCGCATCCAACGATTTTAAATTGGCGCTGTGACATCTACTATGTACTATAGATATACTTACTTAGGACGTAGAATTTGACGATACTATCTGCTGCTTGAAAATCTAGCACTTTAGCAATTATAAATTTTGATACTTCTGGTGTGTAATTTTCAGTCAGTACAACTATCTGAAACAAATAATTTACAAACATAAATATGCTTTGTGTATGTTATTTAAGTAGTACCTATTTATCATATTTACTTACCTTAAATGCAACGATGTTATCTTTCGTCGGTTTTGAATTCATCAAAGTTTTCTTTAAAATATCCGATTCACTAATTAAAAAAGGAGAAAATACTTCTTTTGCCGCAGTTAGTGCACATCCTTTATTTAAAAAATTTTCATTGTCTTGAAGTGTTTCTACAGCACATTTATCAGTACAATTAAGTTGTTTTTTATCCAATGTTGAACTATTTTTTGATTTTAAACAATTTTCAGCAAAATTGCTTTCTGTGTCATTGCATGAACCACTTTCAGAGCTATCACTAGAATCTGAATGTTGAAGGGTCTCTTTTTTCGATGTTCCATTTCCATTTAATTCTTTGAAGTAGTTATTTATTGCCCTTTGCATGGCAGTAGATATTCTACTTTTATCATTACATTTTGGGGTAGTTTTTGGTTTGAATTTACTGTTTTTGGTGCAATTTATAGTGTGGTTTAAATTAGAATTTAACAACTCTGGAGGGCACTCACTATTATTTTTATTAGTGATTACATTTGTAAATGTTTTGTCTTCGTTATTTGAATTAGTTACGAATGAATCACAAATTTTAATATCATTTAAAATTCTAATTCCTGATTTGGGTTTTTCGATATGGCATTTTTCTTCTAAAGTATTGTCATTATTGTTTAAAATAACACTTTTAACAGTGTTCTGCTCTCTTTCGTTTTTATTAGGAGTATCCATTTCTAATTTACTTGACTCTAGTTGTTGATTTTGTTTTTCAAAGTCATTGCACCTTTCTTCATCTTTCTGATTCATTTGGTAATCGTCAGCAAATTTTATGTGTATCAGAGGTGCAGATAATTTTACTGAAGTTTTGGGGGTTTCATTTAGTTGAGTAGATTCACAGTAATCTTCTGTTTGTTTATTGACACATGACTTTTTCTTTCTGTGTCTTTTACGTTTTCTTTTTGTGACAAAATTTGCAGTGAAGTAGTTCATATCACATTTTTCTGTCTCTTCTTTAATACCTGTGTAATTTATAGATGAATCGATTGAAGTAGGTATTGAATTTATGCTTGTACATGAATTTTTAATCTTTGTTACATTTGTTTCCCCTTCTTCATAAGCATCAGAATGTTCAGTTAATTTTTGGGATAATTCAAGTGAGTTTTTATTATTGGCTCTATATAAATCATCTTCCAATATTTTTATTGTACTATCATGAGAAGGGTCAGAAATATTGTTTGCATCTTCAATTTTCTTATCAATTTGTGGTGTTTCTTTATCAACTACTTTAATTGGTTGAATTAGTTTAGGAATGGTTGATATTTTCAATGTATGAATGGGTTTTCTTTCTGTAAATGTGCATTTTCCAGATTTTGCCATAGTTCCTAAAGTTTTAAAGGTAGTGCTACTGTAAGATGGATTATAAATTTTATGAACATTACCGTAATCACAATCTTTTGTGTTATTAGAAGCTGTAGAACATGGTAATAATTGCTCCTGTAAAATATTTTGGTCTGTTTTCATATGTGTTACACCATTACAAAGATTCTCTGCATGACCATTACTATGATAATTTTCACTGTTTTTTAAACTCCCCTGATTATGTAGTGTTATATCATTTTGTCCCTTTTCATTAGCAACAAGTTCCTTCAAGTTTAATGTACTAGTTTGAGATTTGTTATTTAATTTTTTTTTATTCATTGCCCTATTCTTTTTGTTCCCTTTTTCTTTAACTTCAGAAGTATTATCTTTTGCTTCATCTTCATTTTTGTCTTCTATTGATAAAGTACGCTTTCGTTTTTTTATTTTACTTTTGTAGAACGTTCCTGTACTTTTAATTTCTCCGTTACAATTTCTTTTTACTCTAAAATATTAAACTGATTAGCTTACCGGTGGTGAATAGATAATTACATTTAACTTACACAATAATGTTATTTGTTTGCAAAATTCGTACATCTTCGCTAGGTGGAATGTAGTAAAGTGATTCAAAATCTTCTATATATCATGGATGTCAGAACCAAGAATAATTGTTGAAATTCTTGTTCCAGGATTAGTTGAAATGAAAATCTACATCAGACATTCACTCAAGAAAAAAAAGTNCGTTACAATTTCTTTTTACTCTAAAATATTAAACTGATTAGCTTACCGGTGGTGAATAGATAATTACATTTAACTTACACAATAATGTTATTTGTTTGCAAAATTCGTACATCTTCGCTAGGTGGAATGTAGTAAAGTGATTCAAAATCTTCTATATATAAATCAATTGAGTCTTTTATATCGAATATTTTTCTTATTTTAAGTAAAAAATCACCGACAGTTTCTTGGTGTTCACTGGACACATACAATTTGCAACGCGAACGTTCATCAGTAAATAAATTATCCAAATGAACTGACACCGAAAACGAAAACATTTTTTGTCGTTTTTATGCAGTCTGTATTTTTATTTCATATCATTTGGTTTATAGTACATAGTAGTCTTGACAAAATGCTACAGCAATACTAAAAAAATAACCTGGCGGCTGTCGGGTGGCAGTTGTGCATGTAGTTGTGTTTGAGATTAAATAGTGTATCAATGTTAATAGACAATGATTAAAAAATGGTTAATGTTGGGCATGTACAAAAAAATTTGTTAAAAATTCTTGAGTATTATCTCATATAAAAATTTATTCAGTAAATAAATTTAATATTTTGATTTATGTGCAAACTGCCAAACATTTCTACATGGCTCTCTACCATAGATAATAGATCTACAAAGGGTACTAATCGAGAAACACCAAAAACACGCGAAAGTTATCTCTCAGAATCTAATGAGCACTTCTATCTATGACTTCTATCACTTCTACTGAGCCAATATATTTACACTTAGCTAGATATTTACCACAGACGTTTACTAATGGCGATGCCTTAGCGGTCAGAATTGTGGTATAACAAAAGAAAGAGATGGAACGAATTAAAAAATTAAAAGGAATACTCACCCCTAATTAATTAATAAATTTTATATGAGCGGACACGGGTTTCACCCACTTCACACGTGGGCATTATTGACGCTCATATAAAATTTATTTGTGGTAATTAGGGATGAGTATTCCTTTTAATTTTTTAATTAATATTTACCACAGTCTCCTCCTTCTATTTTAGATGGAACGAAGTTTCGAACAATATCCATCTCTCTCACGATAGTGCGTAAGCGTGTCATGAAAGAGATAGCAATAGTCCGAAACCATACGCCATCTCCCTCACTTTTCGAGCCAAGAAATTATTACAACGACATACGGTTAAGGCTCGTCCATTAATATATGTCTATGTATTTACCTCTCTTGTCTATGCATTGAGCACTCCCATAAAGCACCCCTTGGGTATCATAGATAAATTAGGTATTAAACTTTTTTTATACTATTCTAACCAGGCCATAGATAATAGAATTAGGCGAAGGATACTACTTATTAAAGACGCTGTACCGTCTATTTTTAATTTTCTGTAATGAGTACTGCTACAATTTCATAATTTTTCAATCATTTGCAATTCTAGGCCTTATTTCCAATCACTGCCTATTTTGAGAAGTTTTTAGCAATAAAATTTAATAAACATAACTATCTTCGATTTTATATGTAAAATTAATGTAATTTAAAACAGAGCTCTCAAACTTCTTTATACTATACTTAATACTCTTTTATTATATATTTGCTGGATACCATGCCATTACAACATAAAAATCTTATTTATGTATATATTTTGTATTATTATTATCTGGAATATAAAACTGAATTATCGAAATCCCTCACATACAAAGGACGAGGGTCCGTAGCTTTTTATTACGCACTTAACAACATATAATATATATAAATAAGAAAGTGTATCGACATTGCGCTCTTCGAATTCTTTTCGCAAAATGTTTAATAGACTACCAATACGCTGTTTTTAGAAAAAATATTTTGCGTTTAAACTAAATTTCCAGAGTATATTCTCATAATTTATCTAAAAATTCTTATAAAAATTTATATAAACAACAAGTATAACATGATCCCATTTTACTTAAACAACATTATACTACATATACATACATTATAGTTTATACAGTACAATATAATTAACTGGAGGAGCTTTGAGTACCTTTTCTTTCTTCAAGCCATTTTCTTATTTCTTCTTTCAATTCAACATTAGAAATAACTTGGTCCATGGTTAACGGGGCTCTATTAAATGGATCTGTTTGATCACTCAACAGGTGTCTAGAACAAACAATTTGAATAATAAAAAAATTCTGTAGATTACCTACTGCATTTAGTATGTCTTTTATGTACATGTTTTTAGATAAATATACGAATAAAAACTGATTGCATAACGCAAATGACACTAAAATTTGCCTATATACAGTGGAACTCGGTTATAAGGACATCAGTTATAATTCTGACGTAACGTTATTTTTAAAAGTGCCGCAAATTTGGTACCTAGACGCACCTACAAAGTACACATCCACGAAATGGCCCTATTATTAACAATTTTAATGCATACCTTGCAATAGTCGATCTATCCACAGTTTGTTTTGAGCTTGGTAAAATAACTGGATCTAGCATAATAGTAGACATAATAGGATCAAGAAAATGTTCTGGAGCTTCTGCGGTTGCTTCTTCGTTCGCTTGTTGTTCAGCGGCTTTTTCCGAAACTCTTATAGCGACTTCCTGCAATTCTCCTACCAAGGGGCCCCCACCGATGCGAATTAACACGTCTTCTGCTAACTGGAATAGCTCTGGTTTGTATGACCTTCCATCTTGAGACACCGCTAAACAAAACGAGTCACTTTCTTTAAGGTTAGTATAAATTTTACAGATATCTAATACCGTTGTAGCTGGATCGAAACTGTATTCTTTTTGATCTTTTACCTGAAAGTAAAATATTTTGAAATAAAAAATAAATTCTGTTACTCTTCACAAATTATTAAAAGTCAAAATATTTATTTAGATCCAATTAATTTGTTTTTAATATACACAATAGATCTGAACTTTGAACTTAATTTCTGTAAATACCTTGAAATTTTTTTTATTTGGTCCAACTAAATTGAGCAAAAAATAATTTAACATGGCTGCGATACGATCTACTAAGGTAGAGTGTGTAAATATTGTTTTGATTTCTGAAGTCATTCGTTCTAAAGTCCGAATCGTATCTCGTCCAAGAATGTTATTAAATCTGGCTAACATGCCAATGTGTTGCATGTAATCCATATTTTGAGCTCTTTCATTTATTGGTAGACGATCCCATTCACCACTGTCTCTGTTAAATAGTAAAAATAAAATTAACAGTAAATTTCTATCGAGTAACTGAGGAAAAACTGATTATAATCAATTATCATTCTCAGGGATAAAATATGTTAATCTGGATGATCTCGTTTTAAATTTGGACGGTGTCTATAGTACGACAGTTTTTTGTAAAGTAAAGTAGAATAAAAGAAATATTGACATACCTAGCTGTTTGCATTTCTTTTAATTTAGCCATATTAGTTAACGACTCGTCTAATAGAAATATAGCATCATTAATAAGTAAGTTAATAAATCTTAGGAAAAGAGGTGGCTGTACTGCTTCCATGTTCCGGTAAGCCTCACCAGCTAAACTCCTAAACAAATAAAAACGTAAATAAAAATCAATGGTTAACAGAAAATAAATGAAATTTTTGTTAACTGTCGTTAGAAACTGCGAAACAACAGATACATTTGTTGTAGATATATTCATTTTAATATTATGAAATTATTTAATTACCCAATAGAAAAAAATAAATACACACACGAAATTTTTTCGATGTTCATCAATTTCCCATAAATAATCCATAACTGTATACATTGGCCTTCTGTAATTGAACTTTTGCTCGAACTGCACACTCTGGCCTGTCATTTCTATACCAACAAATACATCCAACAAACTCGTAACTATCTAAAATTCGAATTAATTTTAAAATAAGTTTTGCATTATGCAGTCGCCTTTTGACTACTGGATCCAAACCAGGTACCCGGACCAGCTCTAATTAATATGCGTTTTGACGTTATAAGACTTACTTGATTTCGATGTTCGTGTTCGGTGAATAATCTCTCTCGTTGTCGACCACCTAATGGATTTAATCCCGGCGGTTCATCTTTATGGTAAGGTAGCAACGATTCCAACGCTTCAGCCAAATGAGCCCTTAAATGAGGATTTTTCATTCTCTCAGTTGATCCCATGTAAATTAAAATAAACGTAAGAAGTGGTGATAACTTCTCAAATCCTCTCTCCTCGAACATTTTAGGATTATACCGCCTTAGAAATATCAGGAAACAAATTATATTTTCTACCACAAATTCTGGAATGCATCTAAAATGTATCAACATTATGTACATGTTACGGTCAAAAGCTCCACCAGAAGTTGTTTCCTTCTATCATAAAAACAAGCTATCAGTAAAACTTTTGTTGGAAAGCTAATGTAAAAGAACTGCAAAACCATGTAGAATTTATTCAACATGAGCCTCTAGTAGCAACGCGCATTGATTCACAAATCAATTTGTATGCTTTCTTGATAGTTTTTTGAAAGCGGTGATTGTTAAGTGTTATTTTTTGCACGTGAAAGCTTCAATTTTGACTTTTTACTGATTCGTAATTTTTATGACAACTTTTTTCTACTTACTTTAATGTATCTGGAATTTTTGAAGGAAGCGGGAACGTTATAGGTTTTTCATTTGTGGGAGCATAATTTTCTGATGAAACTGCTTTGTCTGTGTCCACTGCAATTTGGCTAAGCCANATATATAAACCGGGCAAGTTTATATATTGGTTAATTAACGATGATACATGGGATAATCAAGATGGATAATATCAAAAGAATAGCGTAAGAAAATGTTGAGTCTAAAGTATTGTAAAACAATTAACAATATTATATAATTATATCTTTGTAGCTTCTAAAATATCTCAAAAAACATAATAATATGTATTTTTCAGTTTAGGATGCAAAATTATACAACATATTTAATATAAAAATATAATCAAACATAGAAGCGTTTTCAGAACAAATAGTAATTTATTTTAGGATGATTATTGTGTTTATTTCAAATATTTATACTTAATAGTGATACTCTGAAGTACTTACAAGTACGGCACAATAAGTTGGATCAACTTTAAGAATTTTTTTGGCATTCAAATTTGAGCAAAAGGGTTGGCAAAGTCTCATTAAAACACACGTTAAATTGATCATAAAACCATCGCTGACTGTTGCATGGCTGTTTGGAATAAAATCAGGTATTTGACTGTTCCATAGTTTCCCTCTGTCAGCGTTCGCGCGAAGACAACCGCCAATCCATGACAATGTACGTTTTTTGATTTCAGGACTACACTTCAGAAGGGTAAGAAAAATAGTATGAATGTCACTAGAAATCTTGTCACTGTTGGTCCACAGCATATTTTCCGTTCTCATGATACTAGCCTGTAAAATTTCATATTTTTTTTTTAAAATGTATAAACCGTCATTTCATATCATGCGTAATCCTGTTACTGCGCTGGGTTGAATACCGCGAGAAACTATTTCTAATTACTTATGATAAATACAATTATTTTATCAACATCCTATTTATGTTTGTTTCATTGAAATCGGTACAAAGTTTAGCCCATGCAAACTTATAGACAATTTTTTTTTTATCAGTAATAACCACCCCTTGTGTACTTTTTTTTTTTTTGACAATTAACTTTTTGGTGTCCGATGAGTATCAAGCAGGATATGTATTGAGCTTAAAATACTTTTATGGAATGAATTGATCAAACACACTATAATGTAAGTCACATCACGCTTAGATACTAGTAAGCACACGTTTTCTTAGTGTAGATAATTTAGTATGCAATCCATCAACATTTTGAAAAAACAGAGTAACCGATGGTACTAGTTTTTTTTTATTTTGATCTATCCAACCTGATTACTCTTCAAAGTCTGAATGAGCCCATCACACACACATATTCTCACCATGTTTCTTGAAAATATGTTTTACATTTCCAGTAATAAATTTCTTTGAAATGTTAAAGTATAAATGAAAATATACTAACCTGGTCAAGGGGATTCCTAAAAAATTCGTAAGCTCCATTTACTGTTTTTGGTAAAATGGATACACTAAATAGAGCTCCCAATAAAGTATTGGCATATTCTATGCCAACATTAGCATCTTTTGGTTGACAATAATCCAAAAAAACTACAGCCAATTTGTCAGTACTCACATAAAGATTTAAAATTAAGAATAAAGCAGACGATAAAGTGACAGGATTTGATTTTGCTATGTCTATATGAATTCGTTTCAATAATTCTGTAAAAGGTTCTTTCAGAGCATCAATATTATCTAAAAAAAAAACAAACAATTATAAATACTAATTCAAACTACAAAAAAATGTATTTTTTACCTTCATCTTCTATAAATTTTTTGTAAATATCAATGAAAAATTCGTCTGAATAAGGTTCTTGTTCTTTCAAACTATTGTAAATTTGTCCTACTATATCTTGGTTTTCGTACAACTCTGGCTGCTTTAAAGCTGTGACAGCATTTATTAAAATTAATTGTTTTGCTTTACTAAACAAGTCTTGATCTTCACAATAAACTTTGGCTTTTTTGTAACAAATAAATAAGTAGGGAATGACATTTTTTTCATATATTTCACTAGAAACTTCACTTTCTTTGTCACACAATATTGCTTCCTTAACATTTTCTAATAATAAACGTTCAAACAGGGAATGTTCTAAAAGTTCAAAATCGAAGTTGCTTCTTGAAAACGATTTCGAAATGTCTTTTAAATAAACCAAGTTTTTCTTTGTTTCTGTTAATGTAAAACCAAAAATGTTTTCAATCAAAGTAGTGAGCTTGTCTTCTTTATCAGTGGTGGGCTCAAGATAATTGGAATCCTCCAGTAAAGCAGCAAATGGATTGGCATTCATAGTGAAAATTTTAATTTCAAAATATCATTCGACCATAACCTTATAAAAAAAATTAATATGGAAACAAATATAACAAATGACAACCTATCACACCATATCAAGAATAAAAATGATCGTAAAATTTGAAGTGTACTTCGTGTTTTCGTTAGACTTTCACCTCGAAAAAACAACCCAACAACTTAAATGTGTTGACTTTTGACAGTTGACATTCTCCCTCATTGTTGCTCATTGTATAGAGGGCGATTCATAACTATTGAAACATAGAGAAAATAAAGGTTATTTGGACCAAAATATGAAGATTGGACCAAAAATGCTTTAATAAAATGTTGCTGTAGAAAATGATGCAGGGTATAAACGGTGGCATATTATTTTCGTTATTTAAGAATAATTTTACAAGATTGTCATAAATTGTTAAAAAGAAACCTAATCATATGTATAACTTACCTAACAATGCTTTTATTGATTGCTTACAATCTTAAAGTTACGATAAGAAAAAAAAATACGAGTGGCCTGATGTTGTCTCTGCCGTGTTAGTTCTTTTGTTTACAGCATTCTAACAATTTTTTCTGATTGATTTGGTTAGGTATGGGCATAGGTATGGGCATTGAACTAGACTACAGGTACTCCCCCTCCCCTCCACTTCAATGTGTATGGGAATTTGCCTTCTTAAGTAGCCACTAGCCATCTATGGTAGCTATAAATTATTGTATTGGCATTGAAGTGGAGTCTAGTCAATGGGTATTGGTAATATGCATCGACGTTTACTAATGTTCATGTCTTAGCGATCAGAATTGTGGTACAACAAAAGAACGAGATGGAACGAAGTTTCGGACAATATTCATCTCGCTCACGATAGTGCGTAAGCGTGTCCTGAAAGAGATAGCACTAGTCCGAAACCATACCCCATCTCCCTCACTCTTTTCGAGCCAAGAAATTATTACGACATACGGCTAAGGCACGTCTATTATTATATGTCTATGGTAATATGTTTATTATCTATGCCAATTATCTATGTCATAGATAATAGATACACAAAGATACGCTTATAGCTATGGCGGTAAAGTGCGGTATTTGTTTCAAACAGTTTACTAAACGAAGCAATTTATTGGCCCATATATCTTGTGTACACAGTGAAGAAAACGAGAAGTTTATTTGCCACCATTGTAGTGAAAAATTTAAAAGAAAGTTCAGTTTACTTCGCCATATTCATCGAAAACATGACAATAACAACAAATCTACTCCTTCTATTAAATGTGTAATGTGCCCCTTTAAGTGCGAGAAGAAAGATATGTTAGATCACTATCGTTTAGTTCATGACATTACTATTACTACCTGCAATGAAAGTTTCAGTAATTTTATGGAATTCGAAAAATGGAAAGCAATTATGGAAGAAGAAACTACTTCAAAATATGTTAAATACAGGACCAAAACAACTGATAATAAAGTGGTATACTTTTATCGATGTCACCGCGATGGATTTTATAAACCATCAGGAAAAAATATACGTCACTTAAAACAACTCGGAAGTAACAAAATCAATGGGTATTGTCCCGCTAAATTAGATGTAACTGTAACAAAAGGAATTGAAAGTGTAAAGGTAAAATTTATTAAGTCACATGTTGGTCATGAAATGGATCTTGGAAGGTTGCCGTTATCAAAAACTGAGAGAGATACCATTGCTACTAAACTTAGTCAAAAAACTCCATTCGATGAAGTTTTAAATTGTGTGAGGAATGGTATTGGTTCAAATAACGATCTACGGAGGATTCACTTATTGACCAGAAAAGATTTATTTAATATTGAACGTACTTATAATTTACATAATAATGCAGTCAGAAAGGTGACACCTTCTCAAAATTTGAAATTGCCACAAGAAATTCAAGATGCCAAGGTTAGTTTGCAAAAACAGTTTACAGAAATTTTAGCAAAAGTTACTAATATGGAAGGGGCTGCAGTTGTTGAGAAGGCCTTGTTAGCATTAAAACCCACATTGTCCAGTTCAGAAAATAGAAACTTGCATTGTCTTCCAGATATTGTCGAAAAGCAAACCAAATGTGGAATAAAACAAAAAAGATTTGCATCCACAGAGAAAAAGAACAGCTATTTACCTGCTACATTTTCAATTCCTACAGTAAATGAAAAGGATACAATTGCAATTTAAAGTAAAATTTAAGTTTTATACAAGCAATGTTATTTATAGTTATTTAAAGCCGACTTATTACATTTTTTTTATCAATTTTTATTTATCAATACTACTCTAGGCCGATGACTTTTTTTAGAAATTTCCAGTATAAGATGTTGAGATCTTATAAACAGCATGCACTATGAAAAAAATGTGTAATAAAAAAATAAACAATTCACCGATTTATTCTATTCATAAAAAAAACAATAATATTAANTATTAATATATAAATAATTTTTAATTATACGTTAACACAATTTGCCGAAGTTTGAGCATCTTATTTATTGAGGTTTAGTGATTATTATAATTTTTAATGATGTTTTCTAGACAGAAAACATCACGCGGTGAATCTACCGAATATTTCCGATTTTTTCCGAATATGATGCATTCTCTCGCTAAGACGGTAATCTATGCTATCATTTTTTTGGACATACCCCTTTTTGTGAATAAAATTATGAATGAAATATGGCAGTTTTTTATATTCTAAATGATTTCGGATCTATTCAATTAGTTTCGATAACGTTCGGAAGATACACCGCGCGGTGTGTTCTGTCAGAGAAGATTATTTGGGTATCACCCCAAGCCGGCAGGTTCTCCCCAACCACCAACTGGCGATACTATGCCCGCAAGCTTCGATACGCCAACGTCTCGCGGCGACAATGTTATTGGATTAGCCGCGTCTATTTTACTAAAGAAGAATGCGCACGCATAGAAAATAAGTTTAGCGGCAGAAAAAATCATCTTGAATTTTTAGATTTTTTGAGATTCTTGGAAAGTTAACACTTCTAGCGGAAAGTTATTATCTTTTTTAATTTGTTTAATTACATTAACAGTGCATAAAATTTGTGTTGTTTTTTTGCGAGTGTGCTCAGTGTATACGGCTCTCTTCTCTGGTTCTGTCACGAAAACATCACAAGATTCAGATAAACTTGTTATAGTTCGCTGGTTATACCTAGGAAAATGTCAACACAAAATTTTGAAAACGTATTTTCAATATTTTTCACACTACTTACTGGTTTATTTAACTATTTAACACCACCTTAGAAATCAATTACAATATCACTAATTGTTTCTCTTCCTCGCTTTTCCTAATTTGCGTTGTCTTTATCACTGGCGCAACCCACTGTACGTCTCTTGACGCATGTTTACGTATGGTTAGTTGCCTACACTGATCACTTACGTTCACCGACGTCTGACGTTGCCCCTGTAAGAAGCAACGCTCGTCAAAATGGACGACCTTCATTTTGACCAGAGATACCTTTTGCATTTGAAGACGTTGATACTCTAAGTAACGGCGTAGAGGCCTCCTTAAGTTTATTGTAATTTCGTGCAACGTCCCTTTCGTCTTGATGGATTGTATAGCCACACTTTGTTGCTTTTATTGAAATATATAGTTGGACTGTCGATCGTATCTGGTTTTCATGCGGTTACTTTCGAATCGCACTATTGTATGCATAGCATAATGAATTGGTGCAGACGAAATAGTTTATTTTTTAAAATAATTTCTCCCTAGACTTTTTTTGCGGGACAAATACTAGAAAAATTGTATATATTTTTAGAAAAAATATGGCTTCTAAGTGAAACGATCCGAATTTTCGGAAAAAAAAATGGGGAACGTCCTGCCACGTTAAACTGTGATTCTTTCAAATGGCGCTCCCACGTTGTACTGCTGCATTCGTCCGGGACTTTTCGTCTTCGGTCCCTTACTGGTGGCGCATGTCGCATATTCTGCACTAGCTTTCCACATTGCTTCTACTTCGTAGCCAATACAATCGCTTGCATGCTTTTCCCAGAGTTTTTGTAACATCGAAATGTCCTTCGAATCGGATCGCCATCGCCTTTAAGATTAAAATAGTCATTTCGTCCTTATTGAAGATTGACAGAAGTCGCTTCATTATTCCGCCGCTGTTTTGGCTCCTATGGAACGCTAGCGCCCTCTTACTTATGTTTAGGTAAATTTTTGTTTTCTTGCAGATGCATTATTAAAGAAGGAAGATAGAGTGGAGATAGGTGAGTTAGGATCCCCCTTAATGAGAGAAGAGTTTGATTCAATATTGAAAAACCTAAAGAATAAGCAAGAACCAGGTATAGATTGGAAACAGGCGGAAATCTTAAAACATGTTGGACAAGAGGTTAGAGATGGTATGTTTAGGTTAATTAGTCACATTTACGAGACGGGGAAAGTCCCGGAGGATTATAAACGGAACCTAATAATAGCCGTACCATAAAAGAGAGAGGAGGATAGATGCGAGAAACTTAGAACAATTAACTTTCCATGCATCAAAAATCATAACTAGAATACGCAGTACAAAGAAGGATGGAAAAAGGGAGGAAAGACTGTTAGGAAAAGACCAATTTGGGATTAAAAGAAGTAAAGGAATGCGGGAAGCTATTTTAGATTTACAGCTAACAATATAGAAAACGATAGGAAAAGAAAAGAGTGCGTACATAGGATTTGAGATTTAGAAAAAGATTTGACAAGATGTCAAACATACATAAAAAAGTAGGGATGAGATGCAGAGATAGAAGAGTGATATATAGTTTGTATAAAGAGCAACAGTCAGTTGTAGAACTTCAGCAGCAACGTAGAATATTAGGAAGGGAATCTGCCAGCCAGAACATAGGAATAGTGCGGTGTAAAATTAGTTATATTCCTTTTTAAATATTGACTTTTTTTGTAAAAATACATATTCAGAATGTTTATATTCAGCAAAATATCCCATTAATATAAACAATCCCTGCTAAGCTTCTATTCGATTGTAATGTCGTTACGTTGCACACTGTCACCGCTAGTTTTTAAATCATATATCGAAGACACGATAAACATCATTAGAAGTAGGACAACTTTAGGGATATTGTACAGGGGCAAAAGATTACTGTGCTTATATTTGCAGATGATATAGCAGTAGCAACTAGCAAGAAGGAGTTAGAGTTAGAGTACCATTAAATAAAATGAAAATGGTATTCACAAAAACAGTATTGTATGAAAATAAATAAAACAAAAATACTGGTATGTAAGGGAAGTGTGTTTACTATATCTTACTTGATAATTTCTTCCTGTAAGGCCGGTGCGTTGGCTACACTCCAATTTATATACTCCTGATTTTTCCATAATGTTTGATTTTTGTTTACCATTAATATTAACAGCAACAGTCCAACACGCCCGTTAATTATCAGTAACCTTATATTTATTGCTGGGAACTTCAGTCAACATGTACCCTGTACGCAATACGATTGCTTTACCTCCATTCACCCCCAATTCGTTTCTTCTACATACTTAGCAGTTGTATTTATTAAAATTTATGTATTTGTTTCTTGAAAATGTCCTAATAAAGATGAAACTAGTCGAACAAATAATAAATAGTGTTTTATTTCTAACGTTAAAGTGAAGTATAGAAAAGTGGGGAAAAGTGTCCAAAATGGCGCTAGCATAGGCAAAAGGTACGTATGATATGAATGTAGCAGTTGTTGACGGGTTGAAGTGTGTCGAGCTAGAAAAAATAATATTTTTTTAGTTACTAAAGTGGTTAGTGACAGTCCAGTATACCAAACCTATTTTTCTATACTATTTTAATAACTTTTCTTAACTATTCGATTTATTTGAAATTTACACTGTTGCTACTGTGGCGCCACCCTAATTTAACGCAGTTTGACGGACACTTTTTAACAACAGAGATGGTACTCCTTATATTTACCTTCGTAATTTGTAATTTAGGCAACAGATCCTTTACATTACCTAGACCCTCATTTGTTAACGATGGTTTTTAGGTATAAAATTTGAAAACGTGTAGCTGTATATAACTTTACATGCTGTATTTTAACTCTAAAATTCTAAGTATATTTAGAAACATGTGCTCGTCTTGCACGCTTGCTTAGCGCCATCAAAGTAGAATATTTCAAAATTAAATAACTTTTCGTAACATACTGATACACGCACCTGACAATAGATGGCAGCACATGTATTATTATTTAGAAACAATGTTATATAATATGTATCGGGAAGTGACACAAACATTCAGTCTTCTGTACAAATATTAACAATCAATTTGTGGAGATATGGTACAATCAATAACGCGATGCTTTCGCGATTTGTAAATCACGTATCTTCCGACGTTGACGAATCGTTATCACAATCCTATTGTTACAGTATTTAATGTTGATGAGGGTATTAATACAATTAATGTTCAAGATGATATCAATAGTGAAGCAAATTTTCTTAACAATGTATTTATGTAATGTGTTTTTATGTAACACGATTTATGTATAATATGTTATCTAATTGATATAGGTAAATAAATACGAAAAAAAAAGTATACATTGCACATGCTTTTAGTGTTATAATTATAAGAGATACGTTTATTTATTTTGTCTATTGCATTTTCAAAGTCTATTGCACTTAAAGAATAAACTCTAATCGCACAATTTTTTTTTGGTGAAAATGACTCGTAAAGTAGACTTCTAGTACATTTTTAATTACTAATAGTGGTTAATATGCAATATTAATGTGAAAATTCATTTTCGATTTTCCATCCACTACAATATTTTTCCTCATTAACTTGAGGAAGTTTGTAGTGGATAGAAAATCGAAAATGAATTTTCACATTAAGACTTCTAGTAGTTTTCAATGTTAATATATTATTTAGTTTTATGTCCTTGTCTTTTATAATTAAATAAAATAATTCGAAGTGGTCTATATTCTGTCGAAACTGCCAGACGCGGATCGCGATTTCGATCTTTTTGGATCTCATCAGCGCGTCGCAGACAGCTCCGAACGGACACAGACCAACTTTTACCTGCTGTCTTAACAGCGCGTTTTAGAAAATACCGCAAATGGAGCGGTAAACGCCATCTGTAGTACGATGCTACATTTTAGGATTACGTATGCTCCCAACAAGGTCCATTTAAATATATGGATATCTACTTACTGAAACGAATCCCGGCGTGATAGGCACGTTACCATAATCGAATAAAATAATTCGAAGTGGTCTCTATTCTGTCGAAACTGCCAGACCACTCCATATATTATATAAATGGACCTTGTTGGAGCATACGTAATCCTAAAATGTAGCATCGTACTACAGATGGCGTTTACCGCGCTATTTGTGCTATTTTATTTTCTAATTAAGTTTTCTTTGTTTATGGATTTTTATCGCCTCTCTGGATAATCTTGGATAGTAACTTCAAGTATTAAATATTAATCGGACACCGTCGAAAAGAATTAGTTGGTCTTGTTTTCCGAGTGTGTGTTCTGCTATGCTAATTTTTGTGTCTTGCTCAACCAACAGTTTCTTTTGCGCTCGGATATTCTCATATCAATAGATCTTTTTGAGATAGGTACTGATGTAAACCTTGGTAGATCCCTGAAGATGGCCGAGAGTCCCTTTTATCTTTTGTAGATCTAAGGGGTCCTTAATCTTTTTGGTAGGAATGTAAATGGGGTTAATCCGATGTTTTTCTAATACTCTGGCTGTTTTGTTTATGGTACCTTCTCAATATGGTGAGAAAACTTATCCCTAGTAAAAGATTTTTTTCTTTGAATGTCCTGTTAGAACACGCTTTTAGGACCAGTTTGATTTTTGTAGAGCGGCAACCATTTTCCTTAAACTCTGTTCCTAGTTCCTAGGCGTTCCAATTCCTCTCTTAAGAATATTCTGTTTGGTAAATTAGCCCAGCCCGGTTAGGTAATGCAGTGATCACTCCCATTTTCTATGTTGGATGGTGATTGAACTGTTTGTGCAATTATCAGTCAGTGTGTCGCCTTACTAAACACCCTGTGTCTTAGTCTGCCACTTGGTTTCCGTAAAACTAGGATATGTAAAAGATAATCCTCCTTTTTCCAGAGTTAACTTTATTTTGCTGCTCTGGTCATTGAAATGGTTTAGAAATACATAAACAAAGAAATGTACACCTCGTGAGTGTTGTCTTTTCCTACCGTAACCTCCTTATGATTCTAATAAAATTATTGCTCGGTAACTTATGACAAAGGGGATTAAGTTAGGTTATGGTAAGTCATTTAGATATGAGTTCAATTTGGTGGTTTTACCTACTTTCTTTTAACCTCCAAACTAAGGGAAGGAATGGTTTTTGCGCCCAAAAAATATAACAGTACAAATATATTTTGCATCTAAACACTTCAATAAAGCTGTTGAACCATCCTAGTATGGCAGTTCAGCGTACATAAACTTAACTTATGACGACCTGTAAAAAATTTCGGTACATTAGGGCAGAGCCGGACAAACTAATTTCGTAGGAGCCGCTACCTGAGGTTAGTTTGAGTCACTCCGTACCCTTAAATGAGTACGAGAGAATAAGCAGTAATGACCCATATTGCTTTCTCTTTTTCTTCTCCCTTCCATTCCCATATCAAGCCCCTTCATCCCGTAGACGAGCGAAGTCTCTCGCGCAACTTAAATAATACTTACGAAAATTTTCGTTCGCAATACTACTGGGTTTGGATATGGAAGAGGGGACTCACTACGAAATGGAAGGGATAAGAAAAGGAAAGAATCATCTCATTCGCACTCGCAGGATCAATGAGGAGTTCCTTGGCTATACCTGAGGAGAACTCGGGAGTAAAAAAAAAAAGAGCCAAGTTTGCCCGGCTCTGAATTGGGGCATTAGGTAGATCAAAGGAATGAACCTACTGAACACATACCCTAACAAAGGCTAGCAGTGATCGTTTTATTAAATTTTCAATACGATCACGGCTACGATGATCCTTTTGAAAACAATATATAGGGTTGTTTGGAAAGTCATTTCGTTTTTTTTTTGTGGAAATGAAAGACAGTTTTCGTATAATAAACAAATACTTTATTAAATTATATATTGACCGTTCTGGTCCAACACCTTTTGCCATCTTTCTGGTAGTAGCATAATTCCACGCTCATAAAATTTTTGGTCTTTGCTGGCAAAAAACTGATCGAGGAGGTTTTTGACCTCCTCATTTGAGGTGAAGGTTTTACCGTCTAAAAAATTTTGGAGTGACCGGAACAAATAATAATCCGATGGTGCCAGGTCTGGAGAATATGGTGGGTGTAGCATTGTATCCCATTCAAGCTGTAAAAGCTTTTGGCGAGTGACCAAACTTGTGTGAGGTCTCGCGTTGTCTTGGTGAAACACTACACCTTTCCTGTTGATTAGTTCTGACCTTTTCTGTTGAAGTGCATCATTCAGTTTGTCCAGCTGATGACAGTAGACTTCCGAATTAATCGTTGTGTTATCCGGTAAAAGCTCAAAAAAAACGATTCCTTTAAAATCCCACCAAACAGACAGCATCACCTTTTTTTGGTGAATATCGGCTTTGGAAATGGTTTGAGCCGGTTCATCTTTTTTGCTCCATGACCTCTTGCGTTTGACGTTGTTGTATACAACCCATTTTTCGTCCCCAGTGATGATGCGCTTCAAAAACGGATCATTTTCGTGACGTTTGAGAAGCGAATCGCAGACGTCAATGCGGCGACACAGATTTCTCTCTGTGAGAACATGGGGAACCCATACATCGAGCTTCGAGGATAATCCCAGGCCTTTCAAGTGGTCATAAACTGTTGAATTTGATAAATTTAACCTCAATCCGATCTCACGTGTTGTTATTCGCCGGTTCACATCAACTAATGCCTTTATCGCGTCTTTATCAGCTTCAACCGGCCTTCCCGAACGTGGTGCATCTTCGACATCAAAATTGCCGGATCGAAATTTAGCGAACCAGTTCTGGCACTGGCGTACTGTCAACACACCTTCTCCATACACATCAGTCAATTTCTTTCTGGCTTGAACAGCATTTTTACCCTTTCTGTAGTAAAACAGTAAGATATGTCGAAAATGCTGCTTATCGCTCTCCATGTTTAAAAGGGCACCAACTAAAAACTACTGCGTAGAATTAATTGGAATTTTTCACACACAAGTGTTGCTATATGAGCT